TACCTAATTTAGCAGAGTAAACCAAACACCTAAAGATCATTTCTACAAAAGAATGCTCAGTGGATATGGGAACACAGACATAAAATTGAATTTAAAAACTTGAAGGAAAAAATAATGAAAACTCCAGTACTAAAATACTATGATCCTAAAAGACCCATTACATTGTCAACAGATGCTTCTAAAGAAAGCATTGGAGCAGCTTTGTTTAAAAAACACGGGGATAGCTGAAGACCAGTAGCATATGCATCTAGGGCACTCTTTAAGTCAGAGTGTCTGTTAGAGCTGTGTGAAGCTTTGGTCGCTGATTCAATTCGGCGGAGATTTGGCCCTCTTTGGTAGCCAAATTTCTGAATCCAAATCGAATCGGGAGACCTTTAATCTCTCCGAATTTACTGCTTAGAACACCACATTACAAAAAGTGATAACAGCTATTTGTGCTGGTTGGCCTGGAAAACATATACCTAACCCCTACCCTCAGTTCAAGGAAGAGCTGTCAGTACTGAATGGCACTTTGTTCAAAGGCTCATGACTTCTTGTTCCAGCTGTGCTAAAGAAAGAGATGTTAAACAGAATACATGAGAGGCATCTAGGCACTGAAAAATGCAAAAGAAGAGCAAAGGGTGCTCTATATTTGCCTAACATGAAGACATAGAAGATGCTGTAAAGGCTTGTACAACATGACTAAAGTACTGATCAATGCAAAGAAAAGAGCCTGTGATGGTCATGGAGTAGCCCATAGCATTGTGATATCAAGTGAGCATTGACTTATTCATGCATGCAGGAAAAAATTATGTATTAGTACTCGATTATTATTCTAATTATCCTGAAATTTTATTGCTCAAAAGCACAACACAAACCATGTGATAAGTTGCATCAAATCAATTTTTGCTAGACATGGGATTCCCCAAATTGTGAGAACAGATAACAGGCCTCAATTCAACTGTCTTGATTTTAAAGAGTTTGCAGACAAATACAGATTCCATCACAACACTTCAAGTTCTAAATACCCACAATCCAACGTTCTGGTGGAAAATGGAGTACAAACAGTGAAGAAATTGTTGGATAAAAGATAAAGATTCATGCTCCAATGTTTACTATCACTCTTAAATTACAGGGCAACACCCATAAAACATGGCTGGTCCCCAGCAGAAATGCTGTTTAACAGGAAACTCAAAACCAGGCTGCCAAATCTTATGGATGATGCTCATCAGAATGAAAAGCAAAATATAAAAACATTTTAAAAAAAAATCAACAAACCCAAACAAAAATGGTACTCTGACAGGAGTTCCAGGGAGTTACCACAACTTAACAACAAAGATATGGTGCTTATTTCAGATGGATGAATGTGGAAACAACAAACGCTAATGTTCCATCAAGTAGCTCCCAGATCCTATAAAGTAGTCACACTGGAAGGACAAGTGTTAAGAAGGAACAGATGACACTTGAAGTTCGTAAAGAGGAGAAAAGAAGGAGAATCACCAGATTCAGCAAAGGAAACAGAGCTAACAACAAAGCAATAAGCAGTGGCACAGTATGGGTCTTTGGCACCCAAGGGCCAATGCTTACTTTTGGGTCCCCCACCCACTGTCTGCAGCTGATTGCCCAGCGGGGGGGGGAGGGGGGAAGAGGGGGAGGTCCCCCAGCTAACAATTGCTGAGCCCGGAAATGCCAGCGGCAAAACTGGAAGTGGCAGCAGCAAAAACGGAAGTGCCACCAGGGCACCAAGCATTCCTTGGAGAGCCTGGCCAGCGCGCCTCCTAAGCCGGTGACCAGGGGCATGCACCCCCCCCACCCCCCCAAATCACTATGCCACTAGCAACAAGAAACAATAGAGATTGAAAATGATACAGAAGTAGAGATATCTGAACAAGGAAACCAGATAACTGAACCAATAAGGATTGAGAATGCAGAGAAACTGAGACGATCACTTACACCTAAAAAGCCATCACAAAGAGCTGTTAAAATGTTTTATAACAATGGGTTGAACTAAACTTCCAATGTTAGTATTACATGGGGATATGTTACATGTAAAGGGGAAAGAAGTGTGGATACCTTTAAGAGTGTTATGTATAAATTGTTACATTGGCCCAGGGATTGCAGGAGGGAACCCCAGGGAACAGCAGATCAGTAGGCTAAGAAGGCTCTCTGAATAAACAAGCTTTATCGTTCTATAAGTTTAACTCCTTGGTCTTTTGAGACTAACACAACCTCCATCCTGGTAGAGCCTGCACCATACTGAATGCAAATTCTAGAGCAAGGTGCATTGCCTATAGGGCTGCTTTGTGCTGCTTCAGTGGAGCAAAAGGACTCTAACATGGATGAGGACTGGGGCCAGAATCCTTATCTATGTCCCTAGCAGTACCTTTTTATTAGCACTGAAGGAAAGTCTAGTTAATTTGCTTTTCATTCTCAGCAGTTTTCTCTGTTCAAACAGATTACTTTCATTTTGAAGACATCTCTTAAAAACCTAATGTGTTATATGAGGGGAGGAGGCAAATGATGTGGCATCTCTGTGGTGCTGTGATAATCCTTTACATTGTTATAGTTCCCTTTTTTCAAGAGGATCCCAGTATGTCTTATACATAATCTACTGTACAGGTTTCCCTTTCTTTATGCTGTACACGTGTTCCTGGAAAACAGTGCATGACTTGAATTCACATGAAGGGAACCCACTTTATAATGTAACAAATAGGGATAAGTTCCAAGACCCCCTACTGTACTGACACCCCCCCCCAACAGCAGACAGTACACACAAGCACAGGGTGGTAGTGAATGCTTAGTTGTGTGCAGAGAGGATGGTGAAGGGTCTCCAGTGTTAGTGAAGTTCTCCTGTGCTTCATTGATGGACCAGGGAGAGGGGCAGGAGATAAGCTAGCAGGATGCTTAGAAGCCATAATGGGGACGGCAGCTACAGAAACACGTGTCACAGACAACAAGCGAGGAGCTCAGATCCACATAGGAGATTACATTTTGGTGAACGTCACTCCCACAAGGCACCACACAAAGCAGCTGACTGCAGGCGTCTACCACTCTGATCGCATAAGAGTGAATTTACCTCACATATAGCAAATGTTTGGTTTAAAAAGGGTTATTGCATAAGAGCGAATTTGCACATACAGAACCCACATAAAGCAAGGGAAACCTGTATGTGCATGTAGATTACCAACTGCACTATAGCTCTCTGTAGGGTGCAACAGGGGCAATGCAAAGATCACCTGGAATTTCAGCAGAACCATTTTTTCAAAATCTGAAATCAAATATACAGGTTGTAAAGTGAGCCTGTCATATCAAGGTTTTAGAAAAGCCTTAGAAAGAGAATCATCCTAAATAATCTCATTGCAACAAGGACCTGATCTGCATCCAGAGCCCAGGCTAATTGCCTGCGCTGGATTAGCAACAGCAAAAGACAGAGTGATCAAGCAGAGAGATTAAATTAAAATTAATTTTAAAATAGTCTTGTTTGGCCTGATCCTTGTCTAGAACCTCCTTTTGGATAAAAGATATCATTTTTAAAAATGTCTAAATGACTGAGGAGGCTAAGCCCATTTTCAATAGACATTTAGAAACCCAAGTCCCTTTAAAAAAATGGGACTCAAACACTTGCAGCAATTATACCCAAGAATCATCTGATGGTCATTCATTACTTTTGTAAAGAGGTAAAGATCACCAGTTTGTACACCAACCATACAAGTGTCGGTCACTCGATTACATCTTGACCCTTCAGTCAAATTGTGAGCAAAGCAGAAAAGGGAAGGGTAGATTCAGTACAAATCTGCATTCCCTCTAAGCAGATGAAGGAGACAAGGAGACAAGGAGGAAAGAGAAGAGAAATTAGGTTGTTTGGTACTTGGGAATATAGGACTAAAAGTGGCATCCTGGGTCATTGTGGGTACGTCTATATTGGTAAGGGCCAAATATTTGATCCCACTCTGGAAACACACTGGGACTTTGTGAGTAGTTATGGGAAGGTAGTCCTGGAAAGCCCTCATCACCTATGTTCAGGGTTTGGACTGAATGGAACAGGAGCAGGTGAGTCGGTCTTATTTTTCAGCAGCAGTTTAGATAAGTAGCATAGATCCAGTGTAGACATGCCCTCAATCCAGTCTCCTGCTACTGTGGTCAGCCATATCATATAATCTCTCTGTCCCTGCTGAAAATGTCTGGTATATCTTAGAGCTCCAAATAGTATTAGAACCAGGGTGAAAGAATAAAGCTACAAGCCAATTTTTTGCCTCTCAAATTCAGTCATAAATATATTCTTGTCCACAAAGGTTCCTGTAGGAGAAAATAACTAAGGTATTTTGTTAACAGGGCACAAGCAGAAGAGCGATATGGGAAAGAGCTGGTTCAGATTGCCCGAAAAGCAGGAGGACACACGGAAATCAAGTAAGACTTTTAAAATGTTATGGTCTTTAAATGCCTTTCTATTTGCATTATCAGATACAGGACTATCAGCAAGGAAAGGGGTCACAGATGTTCACTTCACGCTGAAGTAAGTTTCAAGTGCTGTAGGAAGCCATAATGTCCAGCAAACCTCAATTTACTTCATTAATTGCTTCTTCCTGGTCCCTTCTGGAAGCTTGGAAATAAAACAGCAGTTGCTGTTGGGACTTTTCTGACCAAGCTTTGATTTCAGTATTGCTGATCCTGCATTGAACTTGGCTTCCAAAAACTGAATTGGTCTGTGGGGAAGGAGAAGGAAAGAAGGAAATTGGAAGAAATTGGGATTTAGACTTTGCCAGATCTTGAGGGGTTATTAACTGCTTAAAAACTGTGGTAGAACATCCAAAGACCAGGGATATTTCAACTTGGCTTATACAAGAAGGGGGAAGGCATATCTTAGAAATATAAATCAAGTTCTATGCCTGTTTAAAAGCCCTTTGACCTTAAAATTTTATCATTGATCTATCACAGTACTCTAAAACAACACACTGCATTTTCTGTCCCTCCACTGCTTGCTTACTGAATATATAAAGTGTGTGTGTGTGGGCAGTAAGGTATATATTGTCAGAGAATTTCACTTCATAAACAGGGTTGGAAAACTGCTGCTAGTATTGACTGAAGCCACCATAATAAGACAGCCTGTCACTACAGCTGTAAGTAGTAATGGAGTAATAATGTGGAAGAAGATGAAAACTTGGGGTCATGGGAGTCAGGTCAGAAAGAGTCAACTTCAATCTAAACAAACCTGCACTAAAGATCCCTAGAGTCACTTACCCCTCCAGCCCAGATCTTATTTCTTAATTGAAGCTTCCTAGTTTGGTTGATTTATCACTCTCTCACCCCAACATGTACATGATTTTCCATTTGTTTTAATGGAAAACCTGACCTCAAATCTATAGATTATTTCCTGGGCCATATCATAGCTTGTAAGTACCAATCAGTCAATAGTACCAATAATACTGACCCCTATATCCTATGACAGCTCAGATTAAAAAGCCTATAGGGAAACCACAATTTTGAATCTGAACATTAATTTGAACTCTTCAGTGAACCTCACTGAGATCAGTGGCAAGCTCTGAGGCTCACACTTATGGACAGGTTTGGCTTAATTTTCTTCTAGGCCCACTTTCTCACCCACACCTAAGCTTACTGAGAAAATGCAATAAAAAAAAAATCACTGAAAACCCCTTTGGTCTGGGAAAATGAGTTTATTGCAATTTCTGTTGAAGATGGTTTTTGATATCCTGATGCCTCTACTCCGAATGCAAACAAGAAAAGGGAGTGGTTTCAGAATTTGGAGAATGGGTTAATGACGGACTCGTTCTTCTCCAGTTAAATTTGGAGGCCAGAATTTAGAGAAAGTTCTGCTCAAATTTCTTTTTTGACAAATGTGGGATATCGGAGAGATTCCATATAGAAATGAAGGGCTTTTGCTTCTTTTCTGCATCTTTAGTAGAAATGTATGGAAATTATGTCCTACGTAATTTGAACAGCATGATTTAGTGATAAACCTAGGCTGCAGAGTTAGGATTTGTACCTGAACTTCCCTAAAACATGGTTCCTTTTGGATCCAGACTCATCTCTACTTTGACCTGGTAACATTGTATTTTGGCATGGACAAAATGCCTGGAAAAGATCAGGGCCTGCTGAAGGAGGAAACTTCAGCTGAAGACCTGATGACCAGGTTTTCATCTCAGACCAGTTGAGATGGGAAAGGACTGAGGTTAAGAGACTAAGTCATGCTAAACTAATTGTATCTTATGATTCAGCAGTTAGAGCAATCACTCAGTTAATGTAGACTAGAGGGAATCACCACTGGGGTATACCCCATATAGATAGTTCAGGCTGCAGCAGTGTGCTGGGAGAATGGAGTCGTTAGGAAGCGTCTCAGCGGGCCCAGCTGGCCAGTTCATGCCTGAAGGAGTGCCAAAAGGCAAGGCTTGGGTCTTTTGAGGCTGCAATAATTACTCTTCTGATATTTGAACCAGCCTGCCTATACTTCACATACACAGAGCAGTCTGCTGTGAACATTTCCTGGTAAAATCCCCAAATTCTTCCTCTCCTCAGTTAGGAAGATACCGAAGTCAAAGCAAACACAACTAAGGCCCGACTTTCAATGCTAAGGGAGGTATCATTGCCTTCTAATTTGCAATTATTTCCTTCTGGGTTTATCTTCACAACTAGCTCAGGGGCTATACTACAGGCAAGGATGAACAGTCTCTGTTACAACAACTCTCTCTCATTCACCATAGATAAATTAATCAGCAAATATGAAGACCTGAGCAGGAACTGTAATGTGAAAAGAAGAGAGCAGCTTGCAGTTATAGAAATAGTAGCTAAGCTACTATTGACAGCTCAAAGATGTCATTTATATAACAAAACTACCACAGGCAAACCCCAGAAGGTACTTAAAAAAACCAGCTCTTTAAATGACGTTTTAACTGAAAATTATTCACAAATAAATTATAAGGCTATAGTTTGAACACAAAACAGGGGGCAGGAACTAGAGGGGTGCAAAAACCTATTTTTTATCTCAATTCACTGGCTTTTTAAAAAACGCTCCTGTTAGGTCAATCTGAAAGTGATTTTTTACCAAACGGAGTAAAAAATCTGTGGCGGTCGTGTGGTAAGGCTAAGACCGGATCATCAGGCAGGCGCGTGATGGAGAGGTCGGGATAGCGTATTGATTTAAAAAAAGAAAGTGATTTTACTTACACTACTGATGTTTGTAGCGTAGGCACAGTTGACTTCAACTTGGTTACAATTGCTTAACGAGCTGCAAAGAACCGATGCGACAAGATGAAAAGCAACGCAACAAGATAACTCGGTTGTGGGAAAGGGTACGCCAAGTGGATATCGGTGGCGAATGTGTTCGGTCGAGGGGAAGGGCGCGCCAAGCTGGATATTGATGGCGGGAGTGCTCCCCGAATGTTTCCTCAGAGAAAACTGCAGAGTCGCCTTTTTCTCAGAGAAAACTGCAGAGCAGCTCCCCGTAGGCGGAAACTAATTTAGCTTTTAAATGGCTGGCAGACCAATCATCAGCCGCCCACCATGAATAATTTAAAATCGGCCAATGAGCGGTTCGCGCATCTGCATAAACTTGGTGGGAACTTTTCTAATCTGTAACTTTCCATGACATGGCGCACAGTCACAGGGTCCTGACTAAGCGGAATTTTCTGCTCGTGACCTACTTTCTTGGCTGTGATCTACTTTTGCTGTGCCATGTGTCAATCAAATGAATGACAGACTGAACGGGATTTTCCACCATACCAGGACTGGAACGTACCAAACTCACAAACAACAATATTCGCTTGGCATATTCCATTGTGTCAGGGACACTTTTCAAATTGAGCTATGACAAAACCCATTAGGCTTTTTAACCTGCTTTTTTCAAAACAAACAAACAAAAGAAAAGGTCATTTGGAAACAAAGGACTAGGTTCATAAGAGGGCTGTGGCCAACGGATGGACATGCTGGTATAAATGCTTCAAGTAACTTCAAAGCACTCTAAACAGGAAGGATCAACATTCATGATGAACAAAATAACGTAAAAAATGGCCAAAGTGCTCAAAAAATGACCTTTGAAAGTAAGAGGACTGCCTATGAAGTGCTCCATTTTGAAACACCTGCACCTTCCAGCAGTCCTCTGGCATCCTGCAGCACTCTGTTTCCCCTATGCCCACCACACACTGTTCCACCCTGTACTCCCCAACCCCCTTCCCGATAGCTGTTCTGTTACATGCCTTTGCAACCGCTTTGAAACACTCCAGGAGCATGAGGAGCAAGCCGCAAATCTGAAGCATGTCAGCCCTGAAGCAGTCTAGCATTTGAAGTACTTTGAATGCATGTCTGTCTGTGCCCTTAGGTGCTGTTCACAAAGTTGAGTAGAACAGGGTGTCGATACCATTGACCTTATGGTTATCAGG